TGCATACACACACACAAGCTGTTGAATCAAAATTATATAACATTTTATAACATGCATGTCCATGTATTTGCTTAAGAAGTACATGGATATTAATACTTGAATATAGTAGAAGACATAGGCCCACATTATCTATCCATATTGCAGATCTAATACTTTTGCATAGCTTTATAGTGACATTCCAAAAAGCTCTCATTATAGAACAATCCTTCATGTACAATATGTCTTTATTATAAACTTAAGGTTCTACTGTACATGTAGTATATTAGAACAGTATAAATTGTGGATTGTATATGTACATTAATTCATGGTATTATTCTCTACAAGATGTCCCTGCCTCTTCCAAACAAAGCCTCAATGCTGACCCATTGATGTTAATTATCCACTCAATGCTAACAGCTACTATTATCACCATTCATTCCTGTGTTTATAACTACACCAACTAATAATAGCTGTCACAATATTTATTATTGATTATAATATTCATTATTTATTTTATTAACATACATCCTTACATACTCAACCCATACTTCGTGCCCTTTACTTCTGATCTGGGCTGTTCCCCTCTCGACAGTCGACCTTCGCACCAACTGTCTGATTGTCACATGTGTGTGTGTGTGTGTGTGTGTGTGTGTGTGTGTGTGTGATCATAGCCTAACTGTTGCATAAGTACATGTACCTCCTTGCTCAAGTTCCTTACTGGTAAACTCCCAGCACAGATGCAGCTGTAATAAATTAAGATGTGACCTAGTCCACTTATGAAATAATATCTAGGTTTAATTAATAATTCAATTTTAATTATTTGTCACACAGCAAGCTTGCATGATAATGTCATAAGGGGAAGCATTAGTTTTGGCCCTCCAAATTTTATCTCTTGTTATAAGCTTGTCTTGTTAAAGAGCGCTAGATTTGGATTCAATCTATAGGTATTTTATGTCACTATTTTATAATTTGTATACGATTTTATGAGGTTATGTTTATCTTATTGGTTGAAGTGGTGTGTCTACATTGAGTATCCTTCCATATCTATGTATGTCTGCTGCTGGTGTGGCTCTGTCTAATTGAGACTGGCTAGACTTTAGGAAGCCATGTTAAGGGTGAATGGAGAGGTGGGGAGAGAGGGTGAGGGGGGCATTGAAGTATAGAGGGGACATGGTTTTGAGAACATGAGATTCACAATGGCCCATGTATGAGGGTTTAGTGTACTGTATAGTGTACAATGAAAGTAACAAGGGGAGGACTATTATTAATGATATATGCATGTACATGTAGATACTAGTGTGATATGGGGATTAGTATTCTTGATAAACACACTATTAATATCATTAAATTTGGCTTTGGTGGCTATAATAGAAAATGCAATTTCACTTGGGCCAATTTGCTCAAGAAGTTATGATTCTACATGTAATGTTGTTATTTTTACAAAATTGAGGCAAAAACAGTCATTTTTTGCACCAAATGTGTACAAATTTTGGGCCAATTTGGAACAAAATGAAGGTCCTTATCAAAAACCATGCATGCAGTGATTTCTATATGGAATTGTCAAGAGAGAAAGAGAAGCTAGAGAGAGAGAGGGGGGGAAGTTTTAAAAAGATTTTAAGGTAGAGAAAAGAAAGGGAAAGAGAAGAAGGAGGGAGGGAGGAGAGAGAAATGAAAAACAGAGAGAAATGAAAAAGAGAGAGAAAGAGAAGGAGGGAAAGGGGAAACCCTCCTAGATACTTAGAAACTGCAAGTTAAGACAATGTACATGCACCTCTTCTTAATTTCCCTTAGAATAATGAATGACCTCAGGATTGGTCATGAATAATGATAATAATAACAATCACACCATGAATACACTTCCTCTGTGTGATTTAGGGAAACTAGCATTCCCACAAAAAATTACCAAAATCTTCCAGTTTGTGGTCATTGCCCTTGTGCTAAATCCATTTTATAGCTTGTTTACTCCTCACTGATAAGGAAGACACCACCTGCATTATTTAATATTGCTAATTTTGTAATGTTGTTTTCCTATTGCTGTGGAGGATATTGTTTCAGCTGCTCTCTTTTAGTTATGGTCAGATTTCAACACACACACTACATGTACATGTCTTTAATTGTATGTACTACACGCAGGGTTTTTTTACAGGATTTTGGCTTAAGGTCTTCGGCCAAATTTCACCAAAAATGACTAAGAGAGAATCCTCTGTTTTTTTTTAATTTTCTGATACATATACATGTTCTTATGCTATGTAGCAAGTTTGAGCTGATTCCGATCAAGATTGGATTTTTTACAAATTTTTAAAATTTCTCCAAAAGCTGTAATGTAGATAGTGATTAAGCATGCTTTTTAGTTCACTTAGTGAAAATTTTATTGAATGCTCATAACCAAAGAATGTCAGCTCATACTTTCTCTATACAAAGACTTTATTATAAATCAGAAAATGCACTTTTTAGTAACCAAATGCCACAGACCATATACATGTACATGTAATTATCTAATGGCTTTCTGTATGCTGTCTAGCATTTAAATGGCATCATTTCTCTGTGGTGATGTGCATGTGTATGTACATGTGATGTGTATTCCCATCTGTCGTTGCTTCCTTGTTCATTGTGTAGTAATTTCTTTGTAAATTCCAACCAGAGCTCTTTAATCTTACTATCAAGAGTGACAGTTAGCAAGTCCTTAGTACTACATCAAGGGATGATTCCTGTTTCCCTGGAAGTGTAGCTATTAGCTTTGATGAGCCAGTAATGCAAAACATGTGCCTAAAGACAGCTTCTTCCTCCCTCTCCCCCCTCTCTCTCTTATCTTCTCCATCTCTATCTCTCTCTATCACTTGTTGTGTGGTTCCCAATGACCCACTGTTAATTTCTCAACTATACTACTGATTCCAAACTTGTGTATGTTTCCCAATCAGTGCTGGAACTGCCCCTATGTGCATCATTAACTAGAATCATACTCCTAAGCTTAAGTTCCAGCTGCCTACCAGCTTGCACCTAGCTTGCACAACTTCAAAGGAAATTTGTACCCTTCATTTTTATTGTAGCTTGGACTATCACCTTCTTTAAATAAAGTTTAGCACAACAGTCTACACAGACATCAGACACACTCGTGTTATGTATAGACAACCATATGCCTCTAATTAATGATTGCAAGCATTTTACTTAATAATGATATTACTGTTGAGCCTCCAGGTGGCGTGCTTCTCTTAATTATGCAATCACCTTGTGTCAGTCTTGTAATGAGCTCTCTTTGACTAGACTCCACAGTGAGAATATACCGATGAAAGAGAGAGAGAGAGGGGGGGAGGAAATTTATATAATGTAGTTTACATATCTTATTTGCAAGGAAATTATCAAGTACTATTTGTTCTCAAAATATCTATTTGTACTTGTACTGGTACATTAATTTGCTAAGCTTTCTTTGTTCCACTTAGAAGAACTATGAATGTGCAAAGCTATTAATGTGAAAGGACACGTGTAGCATGATTCATTCTGTTTAGCATGATCTAAGACCATATTAATGGAACTGTATGCGTGTTTGAATGCATGGATTGCTTCATGTTAAGAGGAAGCTATATCAATAAAAGGGAAGGAAGGAATCAAAAGGGGGGCTAAAGGAAGAGAGATAGAAACAGAGGAAGAGACAAAGAGAGTTGAGAGAGTCAAAATAGACACAAGTTTAAAGTGAGACAGGAGCAGTTTGTATTAATGAAGCTATACACACATGCTTTATAGCCTTTGTCTGTTGACCCTACTCATCACTTGTTTAGACTTATTATGTAATTGGTGTGTCTTTTTTTATCTTGTATGACCTCTGTTTCTCCTCACTGTGCTCATATCTGTAGTCTATCTTTTCACTGAATTGCGTGTGCGTATGTGTGTGCATACATGTATGTCTGCGTGATATAATGTAATGACTCATTTCCTATTTATCCCATATGGCTCAAGGCTGTTTTGTATCCTGCTTTAGTTCTTTCTCATTTTGTCAACCTTGTTTACTGTCTGTAATTCATCTCTCTCTCTCTCTCTTTTTCTCCCTCTCTCTCTCCCCCCCCTCTCTCCCCCCTCTCTCTCTCTCTCTTTCCTCCACCTGCAGGAAGCAATGGTTTACAAAAGTTCTGCATTAAGAAACTTGGCAACCCTGATGCATTGCCTCGATCGCACACCTGGTAAGATCCCTCCCTCTCTCTCCCTCAATTGACAAACACACACACTCGATCAGTACTTGTATTGACTTTCCTTATCACAAACACTGGAACACTTTCAGTATACATTCAGTCACATTACATATACACATACACATAAACGTACATGTATACACAAATGCATTAATGACATATATTAGTATGGACACTGTATGTGTAGTACATGTACATGTGTATGGGGTGGAAGGTCTGTGTACACTGGTTACCTTGTGTACACATTGTTGGAGACTAAACTCTCAGTAAGGGTCTGTTTATTTTAAGTTTGATATGCCCCCCTCCTCCTCTTTCCTTTCTCACTTTATCAGCTCTTTCAAAGTCTCATCCTTTTCCTTTCCTCTTTGTCGTGTGTGTTTTATACATTTTCCTTCTCTTTCATCCCTCTCTTTTTCTTCCTCTCCCCCCCTCTCTCTCTCTCTCCCTCTCTCTTTCTCTCACAGTTTCAACCGTATTGATTTGCCTCCTTATCGAAGCTATCACGAGCTAAAAGAGAAGCTTAAACTAGCCATAGAGAACACCGAAGGCTTTGAAGGAGTGGATTAGCTCAATTGCCATAGACACAGCACCCAGCCACACTCCATGCCTCTATATACTTTTGTGTTTATGTATACTTAGACTATTATTTTTGTATGATGTATGTATTAATACTCTTACTATTATCAGTGCTATTTATTTTTGTATGGTACATATAATGTAGGATGCTGGAATTATTATTGTTCTAAGTGCATTATATATTATATTATACACACATATATATTTATTTAATTACTATTTATATTATTGCTTTGTGTGTGTGCTTTCTTGTATTTATTTTTTCAGTTCTCCTTCATCTATTTTTACATACATGTACTTAGAAAGACTACGTTATTATTATTATTATCATTATTTGTTGCTGTTGTAATGCTGGCCTGCTATGTTCAGGCTCTCTCTCTATTTTTTAAATTATTATTATTATTATTATATGTACATGTGTTATTAAATTCTAAGTTAAAATGCTATGAAACCTTTTGCGTGTCCTTTTGTAAACAAACCTATTAACGAGATGTTGTACTCCTCCTCTCTCCTCCATCTCTCCAGAGACTCTAAGCATCCCATGCAGACAAACTGTATACTTCTAAACAATACTCACAAAGGATTGAGCCATTTATCGCCATTGGGTATGTTGGCATGACACATTACAAGTGCTAATGAGGAATGAAGACAGAGCCAGCCAATACAATACATAATCACATGTAAGAGACTGAGAGGGTTTGTGTACGTGATGACTGGCTGGTAATTGGCATGTGTAAATATATGAGGGTTAATAATACATTAAAAGAAGCTAAAAATAGGTTTACTGATATCAAGGGTTGGTACGCTATACTGTACGTTGGAAGGATAGTATTCATTTGTAGGTTCTATTTGACATTCATGGAAATTAAAGTACAAAATAAACAAACTACATTATGTATTGTGTAGAGCTTGTAATTCTTTTTGACACCTTGTTTACACCTCAAGGTGTGAACAAGTTGTGAAATTTCTGGCTCACACTAATTTTTTTTGATGAATCATTTTGCTGCAATGTGCTCTGTATATGTGTGTGTGTGTGAATTTGTCTAGCGAGCTAATGAATGCCAAAATTTTGTTTTTGCATATCTTTATAACAAATGTGCAAATTGGATTCAGGAATAACAAAAATATAATAATAAAAGAAACAACAACATTAATAATGATGATAATAATAATAATAATAATATCCTAATAATAATTCTATAGTGCATACAGAGGTGTCAATAAGTGATGATGGTGCATGGTAGATGTGTGTCATTGTTTCCAAGTTCATAAACGATGTAAACAAGTGAGAATGAGAGAGCTAGGAGAAAGAGTTAGAGAGAAATGTCATCAAAATAGTGCAATCTTCCCAAACAATAACTAAACGGGCTGTAGATGAAACGAGAGTCGAGCCTACAAGTAAACAAGTTCATTATACAATGTACACTAGGCTCCACTCCTCCTTCCAGTCTACTTTCCAAAGTGTACATTCCTCTAATTGAAGTTGACTTTGCTGTGGACTCCTTGTGTACACTTCTCATTGACTATATGTACTTCCTTCTTTCTTGACTAAACAGTATGCACCTTTCTTCCTCGGATTCCCAGAACTGATTGTTATAACTTGTAATCAATATCAGGAAACAATTTTGATGTAAACATAAGGACGAGAGAGAGTCAGCCTGTATCTGATAAGCTCCACGACGGATGTCTGAATTTATAAATTCACTGTGTTTGGCAGTCTGAGGGACAATGTGTATTCTGCCTTAAAGAGTTTAAGTGTCCCTTTCCCTTTCTTGTTTTGATGATGGCGTGATTGATAATCATCATCATTCCTGGAAGGCCATATTCCTATTCAAATATTATTGTTATTTTTCCATCTCTTTCTATTTCTGTATACGTGGCAGCCATTCTTCCTCTCTCAAACACAGCAGGTCTTCAAGTTTCTTCTTCTCTTAAAGGACTCAACCGGCCAGTCTTCTCATTCCTTTAATTCTCTATTACTTTAGAGTCCTCGATCAATACTCACTCATTGTCTCAACGTGCAGTGCTGCGATGAAAGAGGAAGACTAGTCGAAGAGAATCGTGTCGGAGGAAATGAGGTGTTGTCCTGTATCGACGAGAGGATGTCCTTGAAAGTCGTGCGACGTGTGTGAGACCAGCAACGATGAATAACGGACCGAAAGCAGCTCCGAGGTAGGAGTTTGAGGGATTGGTGGCCGTTGTTTCCAACGCTCCATATGAGATCCAAGAGCGACTGATTCAAAAAGGGGAGCTTTAGTGTTGTCAGCTCGTAAGCGATAGTACCAAAGGCAAATATGTCAGTGGACGGAGTTGGCTTTGTAGGAAGGAAGAGATATCCGTTTGATAGCTGGGTGATGGATCGAATTTCTTCTGGAGTAAGATATGGTAGGTCACAGCCTTCTAGTTGCCTGGATAAGAGAGAGAGAGAGAGAGAGGGAGAGAGAGGTCATTTCATGATTTCAGAATGAGGATAAATTTTGGCATGTAATGCTAAGTGAGCTGCCAATTGTGAATGAGTTTTTGTTTAATGACTAAACTCACTAATCACTCCATGTGAGTTTTGTGCTACTATGCATACATGCATTATGCATAAAAACAAAATCATAATTATAATATGCTTTAATATACCAGCAATACATGTAGTACATGTACATGTACAATACATGCTTGGCTCAGATCTTACTACATAGTTTTATCATTAATACTATAATACTTTTCCCCTTGTTATTACAATAGCTACTATGCACTATGCATTCAGTTCTAAGTAAGTTTGGTGTACATGTGGGTGCATGGTTCTCTCTCTTCTAACTCTTACCTGTTGTTCGTGTTGTGGAATGATAGAGAGATGCAAACTCTGTGATTAATGGTGACCAGTTTAGAGCTAAGCCCGCCATGTTGTATACCTTTAGCATGTAAATATTCCATGCCCTAAGAGGAGGGAGAGAGAGAGATTGGGAAAAAGATGAAAAGGTGAGGGAAAAGAGAAAGGATGAGTAAGGGGAACAGATGAAAGGAGGGGAGAAAAAAAAAGAAGGGGATAGTGAAATGGAATCTAAACCACTGGCTTGGATTTAGTAAAGTACACTAAAACCAGCCCTCCCTGTTTCCCAAATGTATACAAAGCAAGGATGCAGGGACTTCCCAAATGGATATTTCAAAGCATAAAGGTATTACAAGGCAAGTGTGCTTGGTCTGAGGTGCGTCATATAGGGGCTTTGAACAGAAATGCTTTCATTGTGTTTGGTATGATAAATGGTCTAAGGAATGAGTGTTGTGAGAGCTCTTACCTCAGATATCTGTCTCAGTATCTTTAATTTGGAGGGAGTAGTGAAATTGTGCCCAAGTTTGTGAATATGATTGTACAGTGTATCCCCTTTAACCTCACTAGAGAGAGAGAGAAAGAGAGGGAGGGAGAAAGAGGTGAATATTGTGGTTTGGAGTTAAGAGGAAGGGAGGGAGGAAAAAAGAGGGGGGGAGGTACAGAAAAGGTATTTCAAAGGAGACACAAGGGTGTGGGGGAGGTTTTGAGAGAGTGCTCTAAGTAGCACTTGAGCTGAGGAGCTCAGTAAACAACAAAGTGTGGGAGAGATAGGACACCCAAACACGTTATTATTAACCTAATACCCAATAGTGGGGGGGGGACGTGTATATGTACATGTGTACATATATGAGGACTGAGTACAGAGTACATGAAATTCTATAGAGAGTTTTAAATGGTATTATGTATGTGTGGGGGGAAGAGAGTGAAGTATATACCTCATTATGATCCCAAAAGTGTCTCCTGCTGGTAAATCGAGACATACCCCCATAAATAGTTGTATGTTTTCGTGACGTATGCAACAAAGTGTGTTGACTTCATTGGCAAATGAGCGAACGTCCTCTTGTCTTTTGATGGTTCGCTGGTGGACCCAAACGTTACCGTGCCAGTAACCTCTGAAATAAAAAAAAGAAAGGGATTATGATTATTATTTTTATTATTATGTCAATGAAAATTGCTAAAGAGTTTTGAAAGGTGCATAATTAATGAGAGTCTTAGCTTCCAGTGACAGTCACCTATTCAAAGTGAAGCCTACTTACTTTTGAACTGTTTCTTTGCAGCTCGAGGCAGCCTCCCCGTAGAGTTGGATCTCTTCCGACCCAACCATCCACTCCTTCCATTTGCCCTGGAGGTAGACAGAGAGCGGGACTTCCTCAATCTCGTCTTCTTCTTCTTCTTCTTCTTCATCGTCTGTGTAGCAGTCGCTGAATACATCAGAGTCAGTGGCGAGCGGTGAAGTGAAGAGAAGGCTTTCCTGGGACCCGTAGCTTGTGAGACTACTCCGTCCGCTGTCTACCAAGAGGCTACTAGCGGAAAGCCCACTGCTGCCGCCTGGCTCGGACCAGACTCTTCTACCTGTACTCCAGTGAAGGAGAGGAGAGGCGGGAGGCTGTGGATAGCCGTTGCCTCCTATTACTGCATTTCTGCTGTTGCTCCTGCTCCTTGGAGAAGAGACTGTGATACTAGGGACGGCTACATTGACGGGTGAAGACTGGTCGGTTCCCCGAGTCTTCTGTTGGTGATGCAGCAAAGAGAGAATATCACGGCGAGTGGACATGGTTTTCAGAATCTATTGAGTGATTTGAACTACTAGTCTATTGTGCTCTTCCTTTTAATCATACAGACAGCCAAACAGAGCTCTCCTTTTATAAGACCGTACATTTCAAATGGAAGTTGCATCGCCCACGCACCTGGCCATTATTATTCTACAAAGTAGTCTGGTATGCTTGGTATGCGGCTAATGAGCGAGTGAGTGTATTTGGTATGCAACCTGCAACTATGGGAAAATTACTAGAAAGGCTACCTTTCTTTGCGACATCATATCTATGGCAATGGAATGTGTAGGCTTAGCTGGAATATTAGTACATGCTAGCCACTAGAAAATAGACCAACCCATGGTCTTTCATTGAAAAATGTAATACTTTTTGGTGCCTTTAAAAGCATGGACTATAGGTAGTGCATGTTTTTTTTCCAAAAAATGGCTCCAAAATCACCCAAATTTTTATCACATTATCTGAAACACATTGATGGATGTCCTTATGCTTTGTAGAAAATTTGAGCAGATTCCAACAACAAATTCAGAAGTTATAAGCAATTTTAAATCTCAAAGGATTTTTCACCTTAAATGGTTAAAAATATAACATTCTGGCACATGAACTATGACTAGCTCTTAGTATCTAAACTAACACGGCAATCAAATTACAAAATTCATCTTGAAACCAAAACAGTCCTGGTAGTCAGTCAAATAACAATGATGTTATCATTATGGTTGCACATCCATGCATGTGATATGGTACAAGGGAGCAACAAGAACAAAAAAGGATCTATTTATTTTTAATAACACAACTTCAATAATAATAATAATAATCATAATAACATTGAAATCATTAAAAATAAGAAGAAACAAGAAAGAGGGAGAGAATAAGAAAGAAAAGAAGAGTAAGTACAGCATGACTGTTAGAGACAAAGAACATTATGAAATGATTGACAATAGCAGACGAACAGAAACATGACTCATTATATATATATACATATAAAAACAGGAAGAGAGAAAATAGAGAGAAACATTAAAATCATAAACCAAGAAAAAGAGAAAAGATATTAAAAATCAAGGGTCCCGTTGTGACCAAGAATGTCCGAAGGACTCACTACATCGCTAGGTTGCATACTAAAAGGGCCAAACCCTTCATCTCGTAGCAGAGACTCCATTATCTCGTCCTCCATTTCAAAATCGGTCGCAAGATAACTCAGCTGCTTATCCACCATAGCAGGGTCATCCATGTCCCCAGTGGCAATGAGATCATTCATCACAATTGAAGGGAGGGAGAGCTGATGAGCACGAGACTGAGAACTAGGAGACAAATCCATCACATAATCCGCCGCCATTTTATTCAACTCGGACAAAGACCGATGGTGACTCAACGGCGAGCCGTACTTGGGTCCGCCCGCCATCATGGCGTCGACCGGCCACTCGTGAAACATGTAATCTGACATTGCCTGCGGGTGCTGATCCAACCAATGGGGCCGGGAGGTGGGGGGCGAGGAGGCGTGGCTAGCAGATGTAGAGGGACTCCCAGTTCCGGTCGTCGGCGAGTCAGGTTGATCAACACAAGGATCAACACTATTAGGCTCGACGTAGACACACGGTACGCTGTTCGCCGAAGACATATTACCCATGAACGGATTTTGCTGTTGATGTACCTCGTCTACTTTGCCACCCCCGGCCTGCCCTCCTCCCTCCTTCCCACTCGTTATGAGGTTCTCCTCAGAGTGGCTACGGAGTGGAGGAGCGTTGAAATTCATGTTAGCCATTTTGTGCTGTAGTGCTTGTCTCTGATAGGCCATTCCGGGGTCTAGGTACGAGGGAAGAGGAGGGTATTGCTGGGGAAGGAAGCCACCCTGCTGCTGTTTGGAGAATGGATAGGATTGAGTAGGAGAGAGGAGAGAGGGATCAACTGGAAGAGGAGGAGCAGCGACAAACGGAAGAGAAAAATTATTTGACATTGAGGTGTGAATGGTAGGCGGGGTCTGGATATTGGGCGTGGCTTGCATGGAAGGTCCTGGTGGTTGTGGCGTAACTCCATTAACAGGCATCCCATATTTATCAGTCGGTGAAGTGACCGAAACGTTTGGAGGATACTTATGTGAGCCGTACGAAAGTAAGTCATTTGATTGGATGCCTCTGGGGGCGTGTCCATAGCCACCGTTGCTAAGGACAGTATTAGCCGGAACAATCGACTTTAGTTTTCGTACAAGAGGAACAGAGTACTGCTGCTGGCCCGGGACCTGACCAGGTAGACACTTTGAAATTGGGAGCTGTGAAAGGAAAGGATGCTGATGGAAATTACCATTCGGGATGAGCGAGATATTGGGCGGAGTCTGCATTGCTAGGGGAGGAGCTTGATGAGAATATACAGAGTAGCCTAGCTGGCCGCCAGGATAAACGTTTGAAGGTTTTCCGGTAAAATTGAGAATGTCTTCGTCTTTCTCTAAGGGAATATCAAGACCACAAGAGAACTCAACGTTGGTCAGATCAGGGAGACTAGAAGCACCACCTCCCATTGAATCATTAGCAATACCAGTGGAGCCATACTCAGGACTAGGGAGGAGAGAGAGAAAGAAGATAACGTAAGAAGAGAGAAAAAGGGAGAGAGAGAGAGGGGGGGAGGAGAGAAAGAGAGAGAGTGTGTGTTACCTTAGTAAGGCAGCACTAACTGAAGACCCCAGTCTAGTAGGACTCTGAGGCTATTAAGGAAAGAAAGAAAGAGAAAGGAGTACAAAAGAAAGCGACGGTAAAACATACATGTATAATGTACACGTAATAAGATAAAAGAATATTTGTGATCATTGGACAAAGAGGACTAGAAAGTGCGTGATGAAAGTCAAAATCACATGTTAACAAGTGATATACGCACGCTCAGAGGAGACAAGGGGAGGTTGAACAACACCACATTGTTTACAAAGGAAAGAGAAACAACACCTCAATGCCACGTGCAATAGAAAAAGAAATAATGAGAAGAGAAGGAAAGAGATGAAATGTAAGAATGCAATGCAGGGAAAAGGAATCATGAAGAAAGAGGGGGGCTTACCGCATTGGTGTGGTTGAAATCGAGATTTGAGGGAACTAGTGATAATAAAGAAAAGATTAAAAAAATCAAATTATGAGACATTAGATAAAGGCACAAAATTAATAATAAGATAACTGATGATAATTTGATACCATGAATGCCATTGGCATTAAATCCTTTTTTTCTCAGAATGAAGATAAACAAATTAAAATAAATACCCCCAACATTCAATGCAGTAAAACACTATAGTAAGTAACAATTAGGTATCTCAGTATAACTCAGTATAACACTCAAGCGTTAATGCAAAATTAAAAAAAAACAATAACATTGTCTAGACCGTTACGCTAACAATAATAAGTAATGGAATTAACCTTGTTCAAGTTCAAAATCATCATAATTACCCATTCAACAGAAGTAAAGATCATCTTTCATGATCTCAGATTCTCAGTCTAATTAAGCAGTCGAACAATAGTGCATGTGTAAATACATTGTGTACACACGCATGTCTGATTCATTTATGTGTGTGCAATGAATGAGGAAGTGATTCATCCACACTGTGTACATAGTTTAGATTGCTAAGTACAGGCTAAAACAACCACACACATTATGTCATCTGTTACACAACAATAGCTCATGGCCTATTCCCCTTATCAAGCTAATTCTAGTATATTCTACACTGAGAGAGGTATGTGCATAATATGGATTATGTGTAAAATAATTAACATCAAAATCCACCTGAAAATATTCAGGAAGTCACCAATGTGAGGAAAGTAGTACATGCATGTGTATGTGTATAGTAATTAGTTAACATAAGGCTGATCTCATGCTAGAGTTTGGCTCTCTCCTCTCTGTCCTTCTCCCTAACTACACAATTTAAGAGGAATAGAGCAAAGAGCTTCCTTGGTAAACACAAAAACATGATAACAACAAATTTGAGAATAAAGCAATAACAACAATAATGCAATATTCTTTATACTTCAGTGACTAGGCATCTGTTTCAATGCCTCTGAAATACACATGCGCTTATGGTGCATGTGCAATCTCTGTGTGTCATTGAGTGTGTGTGAAATGGTAATTCACATAGACTACACTTATCCACCACAGGAAGCAGTGAATGGATATTATCAACAACCATTCATATATGCATGTACATACATGTACAAATACTGTGCACATTTAAAGCATAGTGTTATGGTACATTTTATGCACATGTGCATGTATCCCACTCACTTTGTGTGTGTGGAAGGAGACAATCAAAAGGCTATTTACTATAAGAGGCTCACATGAAGTTACAATGGATAACAAAGGAGAGTGTGTGGTGAGTGGGGGGATGGAGGAAGAGGGAGGGAAGGAGAGAGGAAGGGGGTTGCCTGAGGCAACAGAGAAAGGAGAAGTAGTAGAAAAAAACAGAGAGAGAGAGAGAGGGAGAGGAGAGAGAGAGAGACAAAAAGAGACCTCAACAATGCTAGGCTATAATAAGTCATGGGAACAAATAGTGGCTAACAAAAGGTGAACAAAGATAAGACATCATGTTGAAATAATGTCAATAGCATGCAGGGATATGGAATGCCATCAATATTAGCTTTACTTGCATGCATAGAAATACTGTGGTGGAAGGAAGCAAGCTTAGTATGACTCTCTCATTGTATGGAACAAGTGTAGAAATATTTTGTGCGTGCATCAACAATATGCAACACTAAAATAATAATTATTAAAAAATGCTTTCCTCATTTTATCTATTAATTCTACTAGTTAATGAGATTAGTTATCTGTTCATTAGTATGAGAGCTTAAATCTCATAATGCAATAGACAATGGATGAACAGACAGGCATGTATCTGTACATGCACATCTGTACAAATGTCCATAGACTGTGTTGCACAATAAACCAAGCCAATGACTGGTGCCAACCCTGATTAAGGCCAGCCTATCCTTACCAAATACACTGGAAATGAAAAGGAGGAACACACACAGACACACATTACACATACATGATTACAAATGTACATGTACATACATACACAAGTATGTGGCATTATTATCATTACTATTATTATTATTATGTATCTTACACAATGGCTATTAGCTTTACAATAACAATTGTGAAATCATCAGAGTACAATGAAATAATCAGACATGTTCCATAGAATTTCCAGCATTGAAATAACACCTACAGCCACTCCATCCTCCCCCCCCTCTCTCCCTCTTCCTCCATCACTTATGTGAATTTAACATGTACTATACATACATGTACAAGATGGTGTGGGTTCACTCTGCTTACAAGAATGATAAGTGATACAGTGTGATAAAATTCCTAGTCTATGGAGGCATGTAATGAAATCAATGAGTAATGTTTAGAGGAATGTCACCTGTGGACTTTTCAGTGAAAAACTGGCAGAGAATGCAAAAATTGATTTATTAAAGTTCAGACAGATATAGTAATAGTAATTCAAGAGTAGACAGGCTAGTTGATATAGCTGCAGGCATTCTTAGAGAAATAGGTCAGTCCAATAAAGAATATAATAACAAAATGAATAGGGAATTTTGACCCAAAAAAGATTGGGATCCTTAGAGAAGAATACTGATGCAATAAAAGCCTATTTATTGCTAGCAAATGAGTATAACCAGGGTTTCCCACAGGATTTCAGCATAGTGCTCACATAGCTTCTTGTCAGTGGATTGTCAAGTTGCTCAAAAATCTATTTTTATATTTTTCTGGTACATATACACGTCCTTATGTTGTGTATCAACTTTGAGCTGATTCCGATCATAATTTGGATTTTTTATGAATTTTTTAAAATCACTCAAAAATTGGGCCAAAGTCCCTGTACTATAGTAAGGGACTTTGGGCAAATTCCATCAAAAATGAAAAAGGAGAGAATTCTCAATTTTTATAAGTTTTATGATATATATACATGTTCTTATGTTGTGTAGAAAGTTTGAACTCATTCCAATCAAATTTGGATTTTTTATGAATTTTTATATTTAAAAATTGGGCCCAAGACCAAAGGCTATAACCTTTGGTCAAAAGCCAAATTTTGTCAAAAATGACTACAAGAGAATTCTTCATTTTTGTAATATTTTTTGATACATATACATGTTCTTATGTTGTGTAGCAAGTTTGAGCTGATTCCAATCAAAATTAGATTTTTTATGAATTTTTAAAGTTACTCAAAAATTGAGCCAAAGTCCCTGTACTATAGTACAGGGTCTTTGGCCAAATTTCGCCAAAAATGACTAGGAGAGGATTCTTCATTTTTGTAATATTTTTTGATACATATACATGTTCTTATATTGTGTAGCAAGTTTGAGCTGATTCCGATCAAAATTGGATTTTTTATGAATTTTTAAAGTTACTCAAAAATTGGGCCAAAGTCCCTGTACTATAGTACAGGGTCTTTGGCCAAATTTCGCCAAAAATGACTAGGAGAGAATTCTTTATTTTTGTAATGTTTTTTGATACATATACATGTTCTTATATTGTGTAGCAAGTTTGAGCTGATTCCGATCAAAATTAGATTTTTTATGAATTTTTAAAGTTACTCAAAAATTGGGCCAAAGTCCCTGTACTATAGTACAGGGTCTTTGGCCAATTTTTGCCAAAAATGACTAGGAGAGAATTCTTCATTTTTGTAATATTTTCTGATACATATACATGTTCTTATGTTGTGTAGAAAGTTTGAGCTCATTCTGATCAAATTTGAATTTTTTTATGAATTTTTAAAGTTGCTCTAAATGCCATGTACTGTATTGTAGTGCTTGTCAGCTCATGAAGCTCATGCTGTTTAGCTCAGTTAACATGCTTTGAGGAAAACTCTGCACAAAATATCAGTGAAACTATAAAGTTTAAGCCTATACAGTGAACAAATGTAAAGTGACTTTAGAGAAACTACTCCTGTACAAAATGCCTCAAGAATCAAGATGGCAAAACAATAACATCATTACTAAAACAATGGGAATGAGCTCTTTCATATCAAATCATAACATTCACTAATTACTCTAATTCAAGGCCTCCATGCCAAGTTAAGCAAGGGAGGAGTGTCAACATGGCCAGGAGCAAAACTGATTTTGCATGTGAAAAAGATTATAAAGCAAGGAGGCTCTCACGAGAGAGTTTTGATGATAAGCTCAGAGTGATTGTTGGCCATATAAACTTACTGTGTGATAGGAGGAGGAGTAATAGTACATGTAGCTGTAGTAAAACTACCATAATAGTGTCATCACAATACTATATTAATGTGATTAGGGACAGGTAGAAAGCACAGAGGCACCAATACATATACATGTACACTTACATGTATCGTAATATAACATGTATATACATGTACTGTAGATTGTAATTCACATGCACGTCACATGTACATTTAGAATGAACATGAGACAATAATAACAAAAAATAATGATAAATGTAAATTTAAGAGTTGGAGTCAAGGGAAAACAAATGTACATACATGCATGTACATTGTATAAGTGACGCCCACACTTTTAATTAAATCATAAATGCACTGTGTATCTTTTTCAAGCCAATATTAACATTCATAAGCTTACTCCTTTATGACTGGAAATTGGAAGCATTCTGTTCAATTATTATAAAAATGCATACTTTAATTCCACAAAGCATTAGCTGTATCAACAGCTCATACCAATTCCAACAAAATTAAAGACCACTACATTAACTCTTGTTCTATTAGCACAAAATTGCAAAATATAAGCCCCAAAATCTACTTTCAGCCAGCAATAGTAAATAATAATAAAATTACTTACATGTGCTTCTTGGGTTCTCAAATGGCGGAGATACTTTAACGATCGGGCTGGTGATTGGAGGCGGGGCTAGTGTAGAGACTGGAGCTTGATTGGAGTGGTGGGTATCAATGAGGAGACTCTGCTGAAGATCTGAATCAGATTTATGTCTAAAAGAGGAGGGAGGGAGGGAGAGAGATACCGGTAGGAAAAGAAACCAACAACATGAATAGTAGTAAAGAAGTATTTTAAGTGTTAATCTTGTGAATACCTTGAGAGATCAGATTCAAACCATTCACTCCTAATAATAATAATAATTTAATAATAACAATAATGAAAAGAGGATACTAGAGGAAGATTATAAAGACTTACGTATTCCAGAGCTGGTGAGTGGACGATGAAGACTGATTACCGGTATCACAGTGAGAGATTCAGTTAAGAAAAAAATTAAAATATCATTATCAATATTAATATTATTATTATATTAATACTATTACAGAATTATTACATTGTCACACTTTCAATTTTATTCAGTGAGCCGTAGAAGAAAACAAAAGTGAGCAAAATCAACAACAAACAGATGGAATATTAATACATGTGTGTGTGCATGTATGGTAATGGATCACTAAAAATGTTATTCCTACTAATGTTATTCGTCTAATCAATTTAACATTTCACACTACAATAATCCCACATCATCAAATCCCATTCCTAATCCTTGTCATTCCATTCCCATATCTCTCATTCTAATACATTGATATAATGCAATATAATGCATAATCCCGTTCCTATACTTCCATTCCTATTCTCATGCTCTTTTTAAGGTACAGGTATCAAGTGGATATGGATTGGGTTCTCTCTATGCCTGGGGAACGCCTCCCAACTAAACTAACACTATTTGGGCGTTCCCGATAAACGGTGTTAGAAGGAGGCGTGGTCAGACATATCATACCCTCAGTTTCCTAAAGAGAGAGAGGGTATAAATATTTGATCAATAATAATAATAAAGGTTATGTTTACATTAGTATAAGTCATCGGAGGACTAGTGTCTATTGCTTGAAGACTAGGCATTGAACCACCGCCTGTTCTAGCTTGTTGCATCTGAGAGAGAGAGAGAGAGGGAGAGAGGGAGGGAGAGAGAGAGAGAGGGAGAGAGGGAGAGAGGGAGGGAGAGAGAGAGGGAAAGAGAGAGAGAGGGAGAGAGAGAGAGAGAGAGAGAGAGAGGGAGAGAGAGAGAGACAAAGAGACAGGGAGAGAGATAATAAGGACATTATACTCAATTAATGACATAATACATGTATACTACATGTAAACATTCAAAGCCCCACCCACCTCTAATATGCTCCGCATTGCTTGTTCAAATGCCTCCGACTGAGCTTGCTCTTTCTCTTTGATTAATGCTATCTTCTCATTCAGTCGTCTTGGAATTCCTTTCTTCTTTACCTCAGCCGAATCGACTGTCTTGCTACGAGCCCGAGACATGACTCACTATAATAATAATAAACTAAAGGAAGGAGAGGGAGAGGGTGACTCCAGAACTCCAGGAAATCCCACACCTTGAGCCACAGAGTATTGATGATTGAGTGGAGGGTGAAAGGTTAGGGATCTCCACTCCTTCTTCCTCTGTAGACCTCTTTAAGGAGAACTGACTATTAACAGAATCCTGAGGGGCTCTCTGAGACGGGCTTTGCTCACCAGTCCCTCCCTGTCACCAATAGGAGGAGAGAATGACCAGGGGACAGTGATGATGGAGGCAAGTAAGTGTGTGGTCGTCATTCACAGGGCGGGGCTTTAATATCCGTATACTAGAGTTAATTGATTCCCGTAAATCTGTAGATAGTTAATTAAAAATTTTATGGGCGTGGCTCAAGATGAGACATGCATGATAATAGAGTAAGTACTCTAATATGGAATCTTTAACTTCTGCAGGAAAAGATTTTAATTTGAGGCATGCAGAATTACATTGACTCATTGTATTTAGAATTAGTGATTTTAAATTGCATGCATCTGTTGTTATTATTATTATTATAACATCATCAAAATTGTTATTTTTGCTTGATTCTTGTTATTATTATTATTATTATTATTATAGGGTAAGCTCAACTCTCAATAGAGATGCCAAGCAGTTTGGGAAGAGAAACATGTTTGACGACAACTGTGACACCTGCTGGAACTCTGACCACGTTAGCTACCAGTATCAGTTGTAGATAAAGATAATGATAGATTGGGATAGTTACTTTGTTAGTGGGAAAGAGTCTACATGTAGTTCGTGGGCATGTAGACTCAACCAAATAAAGCATGTTATGCATGTTCATGGTCATATGCGTGATAATGTATGATCATGGTTTTTCTCTTACTTTAAACTTGTTCTTATTGTAGGGTTCTCCACAGTTTGTGGCGTTAGAGTTTCCAAAGCCAGTTAGTGTACGTGAGTTGAGAATTAGGTTTCAAGGGGGTTTTGCCGGGCGGGATTGCCTCTTTCAGATCGGAGGCGGGCGTAGTCAAGAAATGTCGAAAGAAATCTCATTTCATCCAAAAGATTCAAATAATCTTCAAGTATCCTTGTGGAGCAGCTTAAAAATTTATAAAAAATCTAAATTTGATTGGAATGAGCTCAAACTTTCTGACAACATAAAAACATGTATGTGCATCAGAAAAAAATACAAAAATTAAGAGTTCTCTCCTAGCAGTTTTCGATAAAATTTAGCCAATGACTCTGTACTATAGTACAGGAACTTTTGCCGAATTTTGGAACAATTTTACAAATCCAACTCTGATTAAAAATCTGTAAAAAATTTGTACAAGCATAAATCAACAAATACTGCCTGATGTTATAAATACTATTACATTTGATAATAGTGTCCTTAACCATTATTTTGTACATTGTTCTCTTCAGTGCTTTCCAATGGAGACTGAGACCTATCATACATCATATAAAATACTCTTTCTATCAAGCACTGATCTCTATGGACGCATCACAATATACCAAATGGAAATGATTGGAATGATTTCAAAATAAAAATAATATTTTTATTAAGCTGTTTATATCAGTCATTTGGGCTATGTCCATGAATTGGGAGTGAACTTTTTTACTAAATTAAAGGATATGACTATTGTTGTTGCTTTAATGTAACAAGTGGTGGGCAACAATCAAAAAAAGTAAATCAATAATTTAAAAAGAAACAATATTGTTGTTATTAATAATAATAATTCTATTTTCTATATGGTTTATTATTAAAATTCAAAACAATTGCTTCTCTCTGGGATCATCAGGAAGTATGCTAACTGTATCACTACCATAGCCACACAGAGCACAGTTCATGCTATATTCCTAATGAATGAAAAAACAAGATACGGTAGTAATAAAATTCAGTATCAACAAGTATAGCACATAGCCAAAAAGTAAACTAGTTTTATGGCACAAGCCTATAATCTTTTGCTATATATAGCATAAGCAAAAATACTTTAGATAGTGCATTAAAACTTCATTTATTAAGGCATAAGGAAAACTAATTGTAAAATATGATCTATGTAGGAAAGCTGAGAGCTACTTTAGCATAAAATTAAATTACATTTTCTAATATTATGCAATCTTATATGACCGTGATGATTAAAGTGTCACGCATACCTGAAATTCTTCATCTAATGTAAACGTGTACTCATGAGAAGCAATGAGATGTCCACATTCATTACACGTGTCTATTAATTGAAAGAGAACAAGGATCCACACACACACAAACAATTAATACACACCCTCTTATAGATCACTATTACTATAATTACAGATATTATGTACAATAGGAAAACATTGGTAGGAGTCAAAATTTACAATTGGCAGATTCTCATTGTGGATTTAGTGCTCAGAATTAAGGTGGATTTTATATTAGCAAATGCTCACTGCAATCACTAATCCCCAATATTAATTTCCCACTAATATTTGCAGCAATATAGTAGTACTAATCACTATTCTCTATCGGTATTACTATTTACGTACGATTATATGTAACTGTTTCGTCACCATTTTCCTCTTCGGCAACATTCTTTTCTTTAATTAAAATAAAACTAAGGGATTTACAACTAGCACACCCAGAGTAATTCAAAAGGTAGGAGCCAGTCTCCAGGCATACATTTCCCTAAATGTAGTTCATTGAGAAGGTAGTTAGTGAATAGCTTACCCTGTTAGGGCAGATCTCCTTTAGACAATCTTTACACATTACTGACTGGGTGTGGTTAATAATAATTATAGTGCATTTTACTTTCATTGCAGCACCTGTACTGTGCCATTCGCAATCATAATGACAGCTAATACATCATTCTTTACAAAATATAATAATGATAACAGATTACCAATGGGGCCAAAAGAATAAAAAGTAAAATAAAATAAAAATACAGTTAGATAATACTTTTCTTGAGTTTTCTTATAAAATCTGAAGAATTAAAATGATCATTCAGTTAAATGATATCAGAAAAGTCCAGATAGCCAGCCAATGGCTTGACAAGTAAATTAACTGATTCAACCAATTCACTGAATAACGGCCTATTGCTGGAGCTTTCATGCCAACATGATACCATCAATGCATAACTGAAAAAAAACAAAAGTACCATACACATACTTGCATTAGATAATGCATTTTTATGACTAAAAATACAGTTACAGTTTGAATTTAGTTCCATCAATTATGTAATTACTTACATTTCCTGAGAGGAGGCTCCATTCTGAGGAGGTTGCAGTCTTCCTCCATTGTCCAATAGCTCTACCAGTCCTGAAGGATCAAGGCCAGGATAAGGTGTCTTTCCAAGGCTGAACACTTCCCAGCATAAAACACCATAAGACCACTATACATGTGAGTATAATAGCAAGGCTATAGTAAAACACTCTATACTTACCACATCAGACTTTTCAGAAAATACTCCATCATGAATGCTTTCCAATGCCATCCATTTAATAGGCAGCTTGACAGGTCCGGAGTCACTTGCTCATT